CCCCTCCTCCCCCAGACCCAGGAGTCCCGACCCCCAGCCCCCTCCTTCCCCAGACCTAGGAGTCCAGATCCCCAGCCCCCTCCTCCTTTATCCAAGATGTTGGGCCCCCGGTCCCCAGGGTATAGCTGCCTTGGAAGAGGACTGTGTGTGGTTGGAAATAATGCTGAAGATGGTCCGGATGGTGATGCTGGGCTTCTCTGGGTGGGGAGAAAGTAGTCTGAGCCCTCAGGGGAAGGGCCAGAGCTTCAGGGGTCTGTACAAGGAGGCAGAGAGAGGGGTGCGCTCACCAGAAACTTGGATTTCTGTCTGAGCTCTGTCACGGCAGAGATCTAGTTGGGACCTGTAGGGGCAGTAATGTGGGACTTTGGCAGCATCAGTACCAGGGTCCCCATCTTTCTCCTGCCCCCCACCAGTGACAAGCCCCTGAACCTACTTTTTTTCTGTGGATTTCTTTCTAGTGTCAGCATGCTCCAGCTGCGACCAGATGAGAGGCACGGAGTCGCCCACGGCCTGAGACTTGAATTTGCGCTTGAGGGTCTGGCAGTGAACAAGGGAGGGAGGGCCGTCAGGAGGCACAGCCCCTCAGCCCCTCACCCACCAGGCTGCCGGCTGCTCACCTTGGCCTTCCTCTGTTTCTGAGATGTCAGTGTCTTGTAAGGAAAGGTGGGCTCGACGATCATGACTGGAAAGAGAGGGGAGACCGTGAGTCAGGGACCCTGACGAAGAGGTGGAGAAGAGACTTGTGGAGGGCTCAGCTAGGGGCGGAGTGGGGGGGCCCTCAATTGCCAGAAGCTCCCAGGAGAAGCTGAGACGCAAGAAGGATCTGATGGATGTCGTGGCCTGCTCACCTGAACGTCTGCTGCGAGACTGGTCCTGTGGATGGGAGGGGAAGTCAGGAGGGCTGACCTCTTCCTGGTTTCCGCATCTCCATGATCTACCCAGCCCAGGAGGCCCGGCCCCCAGCCCCTCCTCCCTCAGACCCTGGAGTCCAGGCCCCCAGCCCCTCCTCTCTCAGACCCGGGAGTCCAGGCCCCCAGCCCCTCCTCCCTCAGACCTGGGAGTCCAGGCCCCCAGCCCCTCCTCCCACAGACCCAGGGGTCCAGATCCCCAGCCCCTCCTCCCACAGACCCAGGAGTCCAGACCCCCAGCCCCTCCTCCCACAGACCCAGGAGTCCAGACCCCCAGCCCCTCCTCCCTCCCTCCAGACCTCCAGCTCCATTCCTGGGGTCCCTGGACTTCAGGCTCTTGGTCCTGGCTCCCTCTGGAATCTAGAACCATAGTCATCCCCTGGGGTCTGTGGGGTCAGGGCCCCACCTGGAGGCGCCAGGTGGAGGCGGGAGGTGCAGCATGGGCCAGGTCCATGGGTGGCAGGCTGCTGGGGGCCCAGGTGGTGGTGGGCTCCTGGAGCAGGTGGATGAGGCGCATCCAGCGGTCGAACAGGAATCCGACCTCCTTGTCAGGGGCGTTCAGCTCCAGGTAGTAGTAGCGACCTGTGACCAGGCGCAGCTTCAGGCGCCAGGTGGGCAGGTCGTGGATGTAGAGGCGGGCCAGGTCCAGCGGGATCATTCTGGGGGAGGCAGGAGATAGTGGTGGTAGAGCAGGAGAGGGGGGCGGGATGGCAGGGGATGGGAGGATGTCGGTACCTGGTGAGGACGAGGTTGGAGCACTCCCTGCCCTCGGGGGGCTGAGCGATCAGCAGGAGGTCTGGCAATACCAGGCCTGGCAGGGAGGCGGCCACACCCATGGTCAGACGGTTGGTTCTGTGGTGCACGTACACGGGCGCCCCTTGACTGGTCACCTGGGGGTCCAGGGAGAGGGGCTGGGACCATTCCTTTCTCCGACACTCCTCCGGCACCCCTAGCCTGAGCCCCCCACCACCCGAGCCCCCCAGCTGCCTCGTGGGGCTCCAATCCCCCAGCCCAGGGGCTCTGGCTCCCCTCCCAGGGCGCAGGGAGCTGGGGACCTGGACAAAGTTACTCTCGAACATGGGCAGCGGGCGAAGGGGCATGTACTCGCCCTTCTGGAGGGTCTTCTGCAGCTCGCCCAGAGTGGGGATCCACTTCGGGGGACCCTGGAATGGCTCCATACGGCTGATGTTCCAAAGCCGGTTCATGGCGGCTGCAGAAAAGGGGGGTCACCCGGGACTCGAAGTCAGGGACCTGGCAGTCTGCCCGGCACCCCCCAGCCCACTGGCCTTGGGCTTCACGGTTGGCGGGAGCTCAGCGGTTCCAGAGGGCGGAGCTTCCCCGTGGCTTGGCCATGGCCCTGCGGGGGTAGTCAGTCCTGGCCTGGGGGAGGAGCCTTCGGTGCAGGGGCTTTGTGACCTCATCGGACACACTGGGACTCTTCCTGGGAACTCCCTCGGCGGGGCGCCGTGGGCTCCCTTCTCCTCCGGGGATGTGTTCTGGAGTCTTGAGGGTTGGGATGGGTGAATCAGAGCCCCCACCTCCAGACCCAAACTGTGACAACACTGGGCCCTGGGAGGGTCGGTCTGGGATGTTGTAAATAGATGATTAACCAAAGGGATTCTTCAGGGGGAGGCCCCAGTATAGCCCCAACTCGCCACCGATGCTTCTTTAGACCCTGGGTGAGACCCAGACCCCCACAGAGCATGAGTTTCCCCATATATAACTCATTTATGTCCCTGGCAACTGTTGCTGTACATTGAGTTATAAAGAAAGAGATGTGCTTTGGAATGAACCAGAATCACGGTTCTGTTTCCCCCTAGCTGTGTGACCTTGAACAACAGTACCCCCAGCCTCAGTTTCCCTCACCTGTAACATGGGGTGGATTGGAGGATCCAGGGGATTATGTAAAGAAAACCCCACACTTAGGGCACAGCCCAGAGGAGTCGTTCAATGAACGGTCATTCTTTTCCCCTTCTGAGGGCTTTTTGGGGGGGGGGGGAGATGGGATTCTTTCATTGTAAAAATAGTGTTTATTATTTTTTTTAATGTGTCATGTAAAATACATGGTCAGTGTAGAAATTCTGGAAAATACAGACAATCACAAATAATAAAAGTCACCCACTGGGCCGGCCCCGTGGCTTAGCGGTTAAGTGCGTGTGCTCCGCTACTGGCGGCCCGGGTTCGGATCCCGGGTGCGCAGCGACGCACCGCTTGTCCGGCCATGCTGAGGCCGCGTCCCACATACAGTAACTAGCAGGACATGCAACTATGACATACAATGACCTACTGGGGCTTTGGGGAAAAAAAGGAGGGGGATTGGCAATAGATGTTAGCTCAGAGCCGGTCTTCCTCAGCTAAAAGAGGAGGATTAGCATGGATGTTAGCTCAGGGCTGATCTTCCTCACACACACACAAAAAAAGTCACCCACAATCCCACCTCCTGTCTTCTACCCTGAGGCGGCAACATTTTGGTGTATTTCCATCTAGGATATTTTAAAATCCATATATATATATATATAGAGAGAGAGAGAGAGAGAGAGAGAGACAGAGGGAGGAGGGAGGGAGAGAGAGAGGAACACAAAAAGGGGCTCTCGCGGTGGTGTGTAGCTGTGGTATTCCACACCTGGAGGCACGACATTTTATTTAACCATCCCCCACTGTTGAACATCTAGCTGGTTTCCAGTTTGCTGTTGCCAACACTGCCAAAACAAACAGCCTTGAGCTTGCAGCTTTGTCTGGTACGAGGACTGTCGGTCACAAGGTGACCTTCTGGAACCTTCCATTCAGTATTTATTGAATGCCTATGCAGCGCTGGGCACCAGGTGAGGCTCAGATCCTGCCCTTCAGAGCTCACGGCCCCTGGGAGACCTGCCATGCCCACTCAGGGCTTCTACCTCCCCCTGCCCTAGGGACCCCAGTGTCCAGCCCCCAGCCCCCAGCCCTCAGAGAAATCGCCTCGAAGTGGATGCGTATGACAAATTTAATTCCTTCTTCTCCGTTCTCACATAGGTTTCTCACATTTTTGTACAAAAACCCAGGCCTCCTTTTTCCCTCCCTCCCCAGCCCAACACAGAAAGTAATTGTTTAATAAATAATATATGCTCCTTCCCAGGCCCAGAGGGGTGGGGGCCAGGGAGACACTGTGGCCAGACTTCTTAGAGATCCAAGAATCTAGGACCCCAGTTCCCTCCTCCTGGGGGACCCCCGAGTCCCCCTGCCTCCCACCCACCCCCTTAAATAAATAAGTATAAATAAGGCACAGATGCCCCCCCTTCCCGCCCCGGTCTCCTGGAGGGACCATCTCTAACTAGGGGGAGATAATGGGGGAGATCCTCTGGCTGCCATGCCCCCAGTCCCGAAATAAATAAATAAATAAGATCTGGCATTGAAGGACACTGGTGGCTCTGGGTGGTGGGTCACAGCCGAGTCTTCAGCAGCAGCAAGCCCCGCACGGCCCAGTCGAGAGTCAGGTGCAGCCCCCCGAGAATGGCGTGGGCCGCCCGGATGCCTCCCCAGGCTGAGGACGGGGGCGCCAGAGGGGGCACCGGCGGGTCTGGGGGTGCCTGGGGCAGGGCCAGGCGGGACATCTGTCAGGAGAGGACAGAGGGTTGGTTAGCAACAGGTAGGGGTGCAGTGGGGGTCCGGGGAAGGGGTGTCTGGAGCCTATACTGAATCGGGTTGAGAGGTCCAGGCTGCAAATTTCCAGAGTGTCTCTGGTATGTGTGGTGGGGCCTCTGGGTAGGGAGTTCTTCAGGATGTTGGGTTCAGAAAATTGAGGCTGGGGCCAAAAGGGGGGGGTCAGAAAATTGAGGGGGTGGGCCTCAGGGGGCTACAGGTGAGGTCCGTAGAGTCAGGGCTGGGATCCTGATGCTAGGGTTTTAGGGACAGTGTCCAGGGTCTGTGGGCTCAAGTCTGGGGTCAGGCCCAGGGTCTTAGACGTGGGGTCTCTAGGATCAAACTCAAGGAATCAAGGGTGAGGGCTGGGGTCTCAAGTCTGGGGTCTCGGAGCTGGGAGTTGGCATTTGAGGTCCAGGGTCTCTGGAGGCAGGCCCAGGAACTGGGGTCTTCTGGTCTCAGGGTCTTGGGTCTAGGGTTTTGGAACTCAGGGTCTTGGGGTCTTACGGGCTCATGACCGAGATCTGAGGTCTTGGGGACTCAGGACTCAGGGTCTGGGGGTCTTCTAATTTGCCATCTCAGGGTCTAGGTTCTTGAGGTCTGGGGTTTGCCGAGCCAACGTCTCCGGGCTGGCTTTTGGCCAGGGTCTGGCATCTTAGAGTCTGTAGCCTTGAGTGTCAGGATCTCAGGGCCAGGGTCTGGGATTATCAGGGTCTGGAGGTTCAGCATTTCTTAGGGCGTGGGATCTGGAATTCCCGTGTCTTGGGGCCAGGGTCTCCAAGTCTGGGGTGAGGGTTTGGATGCTCAAGTCTTAGGGCTTCAGAGTGGGAATCATGGGGCCATGAGATCATGGGATCTCCGAGTCTCGGGGTGAGTTTAGAGTCTCCAGGCAAGATTTTAGAGTCTGGGGCCTCAGTGTCAGGGCCACGGTGAGGGGACATACATGGTGAGGGTCTCAGCGCAGGCCTAGTCTGGGGTCCTGGGGTCTCAGGTTTCAAGTCTGGGGTGTCAGGTCTTGGCGCTGGGGTCTCATACCAGAAGCTGCAGCCGGCGCAGCAGCCGGTCGAGCCGGGCCTGCAGGGCCCCCAGCTCAGGCTCCAGGGTCCGCAGGGAAGGGCCACCCGCCCGGCGCAGCCACTGCAGGTGGCGCAGGTAGGAGAACAGGTCTGCCCGCAGCCGCGTCAGCACGCCCGGGAGCTGGGGACAGGGCATGGGGGCGTCAGGAAGCACCCGCCACATGCCCGCTCCAGCCCCCAATCCCCCCGCACCCCCTCCACTGCCCGGCTCCCACCTTGACCCCATCCCTCTCCCCTGCCCTTACCTGCAGGGCTCCCAGTGCCCCGGCACTCATGGCCAAGGTGGGGAGGGAGTCCAGGTTGTGGTCTCCATCGGCTGGGAATTTGTCTTTCTGTGGGGAAAGAAGCCGTAAGGTGGCCCTGCCCAGCTCCAGGGGTCCCTCCATCCCCACCAGGGGCCCCAAACTCCTCCCTCCTCTGTCTCTGCCCCGGTGGTAGCCCAGAAGCCCTCCTGGTGGCTTGCCTGCAGATCTCCCCCCCTCAAGCTGTCACTCTCCATCCTGGACCCGGCCCATCCTCTCCGGTCTTTCCTACCAGCTGTGCGGCCAGCTGCCGAGTGTCTGCCAGGAGGGAGCGGGTCAGGAGGACGGCGCTGTCCAGCTCAGCCCGAGGGGCTGGGGAGGCCCTTGGGGGGCCAGGAGGTGGCCCTGGGGCAGCAGTCCTATCTGGCCACAAGCTCAGCACCACCAAGACCAGGCAGCAAACACCTGGGGGCGGGAGAAGGCAGAGGCTCAGGCCCGACTCGGGGGTCTGAGAGAGGAGGGGGCCGGGGGTCCCGAGTCCCAGGGTGGAGCGCCCAGGGGATGTCGCACGGCCGGGCGGGCTCCCCTCTCCCTCTCCGGCTCCGGCTGCCCCGCCCGTCGGAGCAGACGCGGCCCGGGGCGGGTAGACGGGCCGGGCGTCTCCCGTCCGCCCCCGGACGCCGGAATCTGGGCCCCGGGGCGGGGCATGAGGGGGAGGCACAGGCCAGAACCTGCCCCCTCCCAGGCCCCGGCAGCCCCAGCCGGACTGAGAGCAGGACACGGAGACCCGGACCGAGACCTGGAGTCCCCGAGCCTTCCCCGGGGAGCCCCCGGAGTGGACCGCGGAGGGAGGGCCGGGCGGCAGTGCCGGGGATCCCCCGGAGCACACCTGGGCGGAGAGAGGCAGAGACGTGGGTGCAGCCGGGGGCGCGGCAGGCGGAGCGGGACCAGGCGGCGGCTCCACCCGGGGGCTCCTGCCGGCTCCCTCCCCGCAGCCCATCCCCCGCTGCCCCGCCCACCGCGCCCACCAGCCAATCAGCGCCCCCCGGGCCGCCCCGCTCCCGCATCACACCCCCAGCCCGCCCCCTGGGCCCCTCCCCGGCCGCTGTCTGTCCGTCCGTCCGCATCTGTCTGGCCCTCCGGTGTCTGTCTGCACCCTTGTCTCTCTCTCTCTTTCTCTCCTCCCCCTGGCTGGGGTCGGTGTTCCGGGCTCGCTCTCACCTCTTTGGGCTCTCTGCCTCAGTTTCCCTCCAGGAGCCTCTCTGTCGGGGTCCCTGGGTGTCTGCGTCTCTCGGTCCCCGCTGACTCCCTGAGGGTCCCAGGCTCTTTGGGGTCACCTCCCTGCATTTGTCTTTCTGTCTCTGCGAGTCTCCCTGTCTCTCTCCCTCGCGCTGCCCTGCCGTGTCTCCGCCTCTCTGATTCGTCCTTTCTTCCCTCTCTCTGCCCGTGTCTTCTCTGGGCCTTCTGCCGTCTCTGACTCTCCTTTCCGTCTCTGACTCCCCAGCGCTCCCTCTCTCTCCTCTGTCTCTCTCTGTCCCATTCCGCTGTCTGTCGGCTCCCCACCCTCCCCGCCGACGGTTCCTCCCTCCTCCCTCCCCGTTCCCGCCACCATGAACTTGAACCAACTTACTGTTCATGTCCCCACAGGGCAGGGATTCCCCAGGGCAGGGGGCAGGGAGCTGGGGGCCTTTAACCCTTCCCTGTCCGCTGCCAGGGGAACCCCGGGGGTCAGCTGGGCCTCGGCCCGGGGAGGGGAGGCATGTGCGTGTGAGCAGAAAGGGCCGCGGCAGTGAGGGAGTGTGTACGCCTGGGGGGTTATATAGGGGGCCGGGGCGGGCGGGCGGGGGGCAGGCGGCAGGGGAGGGCGGCCTGACACATCCTGACTCACCCTCCCTGCCTGCCTTTTCCATTCAGACGGAGCCGGCTGCCTCGCACGGCTCCCGCCGCCTCGCTCGGAGGAGGGCACGGAAGGAAAAGTTGGAAAAGTTGAAAAGGGAAAGGGGGGGTGGTCGGAGAGGGGCTGGTGAGGTCATTGGCGTCCCCTCCCTCCACCTCCTCGGCGGCCGCCGGGGCAGACACACATGGCTCAAGAGATGGGGCCCGGCTGGGCTGTGGGTGGGGGTCCTGCTGGACCAGGAAGGGCAGAGAGGTGGGGAGGCAGGGGGCGAGAAGTGGCTCCTGGGGGAGAGACTCCAAGGGACAGAGAGAGAGAGAGAGAGAGAGAGAGAGAGAGAGAGAGAGAGATGGAGAGACTGAGACCCAGGCAAGGAGACAGAGACACATGGACAGATGGGGACACTGGGGCAGAGATGGGCAGCCTGAGATGCAGAGATGCACAGAGATACACAGAGAGATGGAGATACACTGCAGGAGTGGAAAGGACAGGGAGACAGGCAGGGGAGGTTCCGGGAGTCAGAGATCAGAGAGCCAGATGAAGACAGCAGGAGAGATTTGGAGAGACCTGGAGAGACCCCAAGAGCAAAAGGGACAGGGACACGCAGTCTCAGAGAGAGAGAGGAGGCAGGCAGGTGACAGAATAAATGCATAGAGACAATGGAGACACCGAGGCAGGGTGACAAAGATGGAGAGGCCCCAAAGACAGAGACGGGGAGACAGAGGCTCAGAGATGGAGATGCTGAGATGTCGAGGAGGCAACAATGGGTGCAAAGAGAGGGAGAGCCTTTCTCCAGGAGACAGGTAGAGACGTGAAGGTGAGAGAGAACCAGAGACAGAGAGAGGGACCAGGAGAGAGAGGCATCGAGACATCCAGTGGAGGTGGGACCTCGGGCACAGGGCTTCACCCCTCTGTGCCTCAGTTTCCCTGTATGTGAAGTGGGGACAACTGAGTACCCACCCCACCCCCCATATGCCTCGGTGAGGACAAAGTGAGTCCACACACGTAAAGCGCACGGTCAGCTCCCAATAAATACAACCCAGTGCTATTCTTGCTTTTGATTTTTATTAACATGTCCAGAAAGAGAAAAAGAGGTAGCCACTGGGAGAGACGGAGACAGTGAGTGAGCAAGACAGAGTGAGGGTGGTGGGAACAGGAGACAGTGGCTCAGCTGGGGAGCTGGACCCTGAGACAGGGCAGGGAGGATGCCAGGCAGAGAGATGGAGCTGCCAGCAGCTCGCAGCAGGAGAGGGAGATGCAGATTCAGGGGGACAGAGATGCCCACACAGGCACACAGGTGGTACCCCCAGGTATATGGGACAGAGATGGCCCCGGGATGCACTGCAGAGCCAGTGAGGGACTGACCTGAGCCCAATCCCCAGCAGCACCCCCCGGGATAGAGGTGGCAGAAAAAGATGGACGGGAGTGAGAAGACAAAATGTGACAAGGACTTCAAAAAGTCTCCCTGAAGACCCCCTACTGGCCCCCAGACTGTGCTGAGCTGGCAGAGGGGCTTTGGGGATAAATGGTGAATGGAGTTAACACCCCTCCCATCCCCCACCACTGGGGGGCGACTGCTCAGGTCCCCAGGGAGGTGAGGTCACAGCCCCCCCATGGTGGGACATGACCTCATCGCCTCAGGTAAGAGCTTTCTCTCTCTTTTGGTCTGTCATGGCCACCCCTTCCAGGGCCCCCCAGGGGCCCTCCACAGCCCCTGCTCCCGCTGGGACCCAGGCCTCTGACCACTGGGTCTCCGCCCCTCAGGGGGCCTGTTTCCGGCTGAGTCAGTGTGGGGGGCCCAAGGCTGCGTCAGTGAGGGGAGAACTGACGTAGCCCCCCCCCCAGACCGGCCGGGCCAGCCAAGGTGACTCAGGCCACCAGCCTGGGGGATGGACTGGCCTGAGGGGATGGGGACTGGGCCTGGGGCCAGCCTGAGAGCAACAATACGGATCTGGTAATGGCAGCCCCTTCCCCCTACCAGGGGTGCCAGCTCCAGCCCACTCCCTTAGACCCAGGAGTCCAGGCCCCCAGCCCCTCCTCCCTCAGACCTGGGTGGCCAGGCCCCCAGCCCCCTCCTCCCTCAGATCTGGGAGTCCAGACCCCCAGCCCCTCCTCCCTCAGACCCAGGCGTCCAAGCGCCCAGCCCTTCCTCCCTCAGACCCGGGGGTCCAGGCCCCTAAGCTCCTTCTCCCTCAGACTCAGGTGTCACATGTTCAGGCCCTAAACCCTAGTTTCTAGAAAGGTGGAGAAAAACGTGTTGCCATTCTGCAGTTTGGGGAATACTCTGTGTGGGGAAGGTCAGGAGTCTGGAAACAGGTCAGGGGTCCCCAGTTGGTGCCAGCCCCCATCAGCCCTCTCCCTGGGGCTGTGGGGTCATCTTCCCCAGTGCAGCTGGAGGAGGCTGAGGGATACAGGGTAGGTGCAGGACAGGAGGGCAGGGGATTGCTTAGGACTCCTGGGTCTTCCCCGGGATGAGGACACTTGGGGTACTTCTGGAAAGGAGGGCAAGATGGGGAGAGAGAGAGAGAGAGAGACATAGGTAAAGAGACCGAGAGAGGCAGGGTAGGGGAATCACAAACAATGACAGAAGGTGACACTAACAAACAGAAATAGAGACAGGAGCGCAGAGACCCAGAGTGAGAAAAAGACAGAGATGCAAAAAAAAAAAAAAAAAAAAGGGAACTACAAAGAAAAAAAAAAAAAAAATAGAAAACTCAGAGACGAAGATTGGGGGAGACAGGGTGCTAGAGGCTCTGAACGGTGGTCACTGATGGCCAGCGGTGGGGGGAGATGCCACTGGGATATGAGGGGGAGCCCAGGGGGTCCTTGCTCATGTGCTGGCCCCTGGGTGAGGTGGGGCTGGCTGGGTGTGAGGTCAGCAGGTCCGAGGCTGTGTGTGTCCGTCTGTCTGTCCCTGGGGGGTCCTGTCTGGCCTCTGAGGGGTGACGGGGCAGGCGGGCCGCAGAGGCAGCCCAAACCTGTCATTAGCGGTGAGGGCCGTGACGGCGGCCCCCCCAGTCCCAAGCCGCGGTCCAGGGCCCGACGGCCCCGCCCCCCCACCCCCTCCTTGATCCCTGAGGAATCCCGGGAATTGGGAAGTGGGTCCAGATGATGTTGACACAGGAAACGGTCAGCAGCTGCCCGGCCTCAGCCCCACAACCCCTCTGACCCCCACCCCCGGCCCCCTGCAGAGCCCCCTCTGACCTATGTCATCTCTGACGGAGGCAGCCCAGGGCCCACTCAGCTCCCACCAGGATGTTTACCGGAGATGGGCAAGACGGAGTCAGCCTCACGGGGCTTCCCAGGAGAGGGGGTCTGGACTCCTGGACAGTCGCCCTCAGGCCTGGTCCCTTGCCCCTGCCCAGGAGTCCAGGTCCTCAGACTCCCGATCTGAGACCCCAGCCCCGCCTCCCTCAGACCCAGGGGGTCCGGGCCCCCAGCCCCTCCTCCCTCAGACCCGGGAGTCCAGACCCCCAGCCCCTCCTCCCTCAGACCCAGGGGTCCAGACCCCCAGACCCTCCTCCCTCAGACCCGGGAGTCCAGACCCCCAGCTTCCTTTTCCCTCAGACTCAGGGGTCTGGACACAAAGACAAACTGCCCCAGGAGAGCTGAGCCTTCTCCTCACTGTGCCGCTAGGCATCGCAGTCCATCCAGCCCCCCAGCCAGCCTCTTCCCCCACTATTGGGGGGACCAAACCAGAAGCTTGAGGATCCTCAGCTGGACCACTTTCCCCATTTGTTGGTGAAACTGAGGCCTAGGTGGGAGAGGGGGCTCTGTGCTCATGAATCACCCTCACCGCCCCAGGCAGCTCCCCACCCCCAGGCCCTCAGATCCCTGTGGCCGGGGCATGGTCAAGCTGCTCCGGTTACACATTCCCCATGGTGAGGCCTGGGGTGCCTTCTGGACCAGGAGATTCCTGAGCAAGTGCTCTGGCCTGGGGCCCAACCTCCATTTTCTTGTTGCCCTCCTAGGTCCTCTGGTTGCTAGGGGGGCCGTCCTAACAATGGGGCTCAGTGAGGCCTTCTGAGCCTCATGCCCCCCTGCCCCTGTTTGCTAGGGGGAAGACCCCCTGGCAACCAGGTCTTAGGAGACTTTGGGCCACCGGCACTGCCTCACAGGCATCAGGTTACTAAGCAGAAGGATTCCCCGGCAAGATCTCTGGGGTCCCCACCCTTCGGGGTCCCCACCCTTCAGGGTCCCTTGGTGGGTACGGAGGAGATGCCTTAGACCTCGCAGGTTGTGAAGGAGGCTCTTCTAACCCCCAGGCCCCCACCCCCACCCCTAGGCCCCTGCCACCTGGTTGCTAAGGAAGCAACTTCCTAGCAACCAGGCCAGTGTGACCGCTCCTTCCTTCTTCCCCATTACTAAGGGGGCTCCCTAGCAACAGAACTTAAGGGACTGGGTGGCAGGCGGGCAGGGCCCAGCCTGTTGCTGGGGTGATGGCCTTCTGGGTCTCACCCCACAGAAGCCCTAGGGGTCTGGGGAGGCGACATGGTGGGCTCTGGGATCCCAGCTTTGACTCTCTTCCTGCTGATGCAGGGCTCAGTAGGTGAGGGGATCGACACCAGGGTCAGAACGCTGAGCGGGGGGCCTTCTCCGCCTCCATACAGCAGCCCCGACACCATCTCTTTTCTTTCACAGATGGGAATGGAATCCAGGGATTCTTCTATCCATGGAGTGAGCAGTGGATGAAATCCTGGGTCCCTCAGGGACCTCCCCCCCCAGCCTAGACTCTTGGGTCTAATGGGAGGAGGGGCTGAGGGTCTGGACCCCTGGGTCTGAGGGAGGCGGGGCTGGGGGCCTGGACTCCCGGGTCTGAGGGAGGAGGGGATGGGGGCCTGGACTCCCGGGTCTGAGGGAGGCGGGGCTGGGGGCCTGGACTCCCGGGTCTGAGGGAGGAGGGGATGGGGGCCTGGACTCCCGGGTCTGAGGGAGGAGGGGCTGGGGGCCTGGACTCCCGGGTCTGAGGGAGGAGGGGCTGGGGGCCTGGACTCCCGGGTCTGAGGGAGGAGGGGATGGGGGCCTGGACTCCTGGGTCTGAGGGAGGCGGGGCTGGGGGCCTGGACTCC